TTGATATAGATAGTCGACATGAAACAGTTTGGGGATATGTTATTAATGGTTTGACCTACAACATAATTCTTGGTAATCCTTGGATGAGAGCTAATGCAGTTGTGTATGATGCTCGTCGTCATTTCATCTGCTTTGGACCCCCAGGAGGGCTTAGAGTGAAAGGAAAAGGTTGGGAGAATCATCTGTCTCCTAATGATATGGCAAAAGTAAATTGCTTTAATGTCAGTACAGGAAGCGCTCGTCAGGTTCTTGGTTCACATTTTATGTCCATTGCAACTCGTGCACATAATGCCAAAGATACGGCATCTAAGATATTTGCCGCTTCGATTGCTGATATCAACAAAGCTTTAGAAGTCAAAAAAAAGCAGACTCCACAGGAAATTCAAGAAAGTTTGCCCCACGAAATACATGATAATGCGAAATACTTCACTGAAGATGAAAATAACGAGCTGCCACCCCATAGACTCGGAGTGGATACTAAGATTGACCTTCTCAAGGACGAAGATGGTAGAGAAAAAGAGGTGCCTTTTGGTCCCTTGTACGACAAGTCTCGAGCAGAATTACTTGTGTTAAGGAAAACCCTAACAGATCACCTTGAAAAAAAATTGGATACGAGCTAGCTCCTCACCTGGTGGAGCCCCGGTATTGTTTGTAAAAAAGCCAGGAGGCGGTCTTCGATTCTGTATAGATTATCGGGCCCTAAATTGCATTACTGTAAAAGTCAGGTATCCACTTCCACTTATCAGGGAAACATTGAGGTAATTCACAAGGGCCACATGGATCTCGAAACTTGACGTTCGCGCTGCCTTTGATAAGCTGGGAGTACGTGATGGTGACGAATATAAGACAGTGTTCCGAACTCAGAATGGTTCTTCTAAATGGCTGTTTACACCTTTTGGTTTAACTGGGGCCCCTAGTGCCTTTCAAAGATATATTAACAATGTTCTTAGGGAGTTTTTAGGTGAATTTTGTTCCGCGTACCTAGATGATGTTCTGATTTACTCTTCTGGGGATATTTCAGATCAATAGATAAAAGTAAATTTAGTACTAAATCATTTAGGTCTGGCAGGGCTGAAAATGGATCCTCGGAAGAGCGAATTTGCCGTTAAGCAGACAAAATACCTCGGTTTTTATATGTTTATGAAATGGAATTAAGATTGAGCCAGAAAAGGTAAAGGCAATAAAAAGATGGCAAGCACCAACAAGCTCAAAGGGAGTGCAAAGTATTATTAGTTTTGCTAATTTTTACCGCAACTTCATCCCAAACTTTGGAGGCATAGCGGCACCCTTGTTAGCTCTTATTAAAAAGCAGTCAATTTTTAAATGGGAATCCCGACAGCAGGATGCATTCGAAAAACTCAAAGAACTTTTTATAACCGCCTCAATCCTAGCAATGTGGAATGACGAAAAGGAGATAGTGCTTGAGGCTGACAGCTCAGGCTATGTGCTGGGTAGATGTCTATCACAAAGAGATAATAATGGGGTCTTAAGGCTAGTTGGATATCTTTCAAAAGAATTAACGCCAGCGGAAGTAAATTACGATATCCATAATAAAGAAATACGATCAATCATTCGTTGTATGGAAGAAAGGAGAGGCATGTTGATTGAATTAGACAAAATATTTTTCGTCTTGTCAGATCACCAGAACCTCAAACATTTTATGACACGACGTAGATTGAACGAACGCCAATTATGATGGTCTTAATTCTTGTCATAATTCAATTTTATGTTCCAGTTTTGCCTTGGTACTCAAGCTGCAAGACCAGATGCATTATCCAGACGAGAGCAAGATATGCCAAAAGGACATGAAGACGATAGATTACAAATTCGAGAAGTACAATTGGTAAAAGATGCTTGGATTTGTTCAGGTAAAATCCAACCACCACCACGACAAGATCATGGGTATAAGTCACAAAATATACCAAACGGTATTAGCATTTTTTCAGACGAACACTTTCAGACCTTATGGGATAGAGCAGTGCAAGAGTGTAAAAGGTTGAAAGAATTCAGAAGTACTTGAAGTCGTTAACGCAATGGAAATAAATAATTTTTCCTTGGGAAAGCTCAACTACCGAATCGTATCCTGTCCTTTATGTCTTCCGCGTACGATAGTATTAACTCCCCCCCTTTAGCCATATGAGAAATAATCCTTTCTCCCGGCTCTCTTCCTTAGCCCCTGAGAATCGTCCTTTCTCCCGGCACAACTCTTCTCCTGTATCATGCTCCCCCATCTGGTACGTACCCCCTTTAATACCCCCTTAGCGCCCCCTTTCGTTTATCCAGGAGCGTTGCACTGCCACTAGCTTACCTTGGAGACGGAGTGGTCCTAGTGACCAGTCCCAATCCGGGCAAAGCCCGTCACAAAGAGGACAAAAACTGAAACATACTTAATGACTGCTTGGCGAAAGGAGAACGAATTATGCCACCAGAGCTAAGTAGTTTGAAGGTATCATTGGCACAGTGTAGTTTCGACACTTGTGGTGCCCTCAAGTTCCGAGATAGGGTCTGGATCCCGAATTTTGAATCACTTCAGACGGCTTTAATTTAACAAACTCATGATTATTATTTTACAGGACTCCCAGGAAGAGACAGTAACTTAGCAATACTGGGCAGAAAATTTTCTTGGCCAGGCATTTCTAAAGGAGTAAGAAGATTCTGTCGGAAATATGATGTTTACGGACCCAGTCATGTTTGGAAGGGACGAAAAAAGGGATTATTACGTCCATTACCCGTACCAGATCGATTTAATAGCGAACTAGGTATTTATTTTATGACAGATCTCCCAGCAAAATCAAAAATCGACACAAGGTATATGATGGTAGTGGTTGACCGATCAAAAGATAGTGTTGTATTTGAAGAAATGACGAGCATGAAAGCTGAGGACTGCGCTAAAGTTTTCCTTAAGTTTGATGTAAGGTACTGTAACAGTTCCGATAAATAAAGCTTGGGCGTTCATATGTCGAAAGGTAAGTTTATTTACTAACTGAAGAACAAGACTACTGCTACACTCAACGCCCTATTTATATACATGATTCCAATATTTCAAACACTAGTCTTTGTCCTCTAGTCCGGCTCCCACTATTAAAGTGTGGGCTAGTTACCAACGATGTTTCGTGCACGGGCAGTACCAGACTTTTAATACCAACGTATCTTAGCGCTGATAAATAAGTATGCATGAGATGAATATCACAGGCTACAGGCAATCTACCGGCTTACTAGCCGCCACAGGTACCATGGATTTCCAACCCATATAACTTCGGATTGAGGGCCGAATTGGGTAGTAGATTTTTGGACGGAACTATGCCAGCTAACAGGAATAAAACAGCGCCTATCAACAGCTTTTCGAACACAGATAGACGGGGCTACTGAAAGTATGAGTAAGGAAATTCTAGCATACCTAATAGCATTTATCACACATGCACAGTTTGACTGGAAAGATCTGCTGCCATGCGCAATGCTAGCATTAAGTAATAGAACTTCGAATGCACTAGGCATGAGCCTATTTTTCGCTAAACATGGCTATCATGTGGAATCGATTTAGCAGATAGAACAAAACAGCAATCCATCAAGACTAACAAAGAATGCGCAAAGGTTCGCTGAAAGACTTAGAGAAGCCGAAGAGCTTGCGCAGGCATCTATGGCATCATCACAGCATAGGATGGAAGAGAACGCAAATCGAAGCCGTAAAGAAGTAGAGACATTCAAAGAGGGAGATATCGTATGGCTGAACTTAAAGAACATAGAAACGCCACAATTATCCAAAAAGCTTTCTTGGATTAATGCAAAATATGAAGTTTTCAAAGTTGTCGATTCCCATTCTATAGAATTGAACACACAGTCAGGCATCTGGCCTAGATTCCATGTCGATCTATTGAAAAGAGCTGCTGCTGACCCATTACCATCACAGATTATTGTCTATGCTCAGCCTCTTCCAATAGTACCTGAAACCTCTGATATCGGACGACAAAATACAAATAAAGAACCTGAACAGGAATAATTTGTTGATAGGATTTTAAGGACTGAGAAAGAAGAGTTGGTCAAGGTCATCACTGCTTACTTTTTGTAAAATGGAAAGGATTTGCAGGACCAACCTGGGAACAAAAGGACAATCTTAATGAAACAGAAGCATTAGATATATTCGAAAAGAAATATGGCCGTATGGAAAATGTTGGCGAAGATAAAGGATCATTTATAGGGCGACGAAAACTCACAAATCGTGCATTGCTGGCGCGCTCTACAATTGATCAAAACGTGTAGAACAGCTTCACAAGCTTGATCCGTGAAATGGGAGAGGAGGGGTTATGTTACAGGCTGACCGCCTTATATTGTTAGAATCTGTGACGGAAACCGAGTTGGTAATGAATAAATCGATTTGTTAAACTACATGAAGAGGAAAGAAATCTCTAGCTACTACTAACAGGTACTTAAAACGTTTGGTCCGCTTCGTGAATCTGCTGACTGATAACTTCTCCCTAGGCCTAATACTTGCTACTGAGCCAAGTAATATCAGGAGCCATTACGCTATGATGTTGCTTCGACCTCCTGGCTAGTAGTGCTATTTCATCTCTATTTGCCCATCCTTCCTCTTTCAGTCTTATCGTAATTATTCCTAATTAAACGCTTAGGTTTCCTCCTAAGCTAAAGCAACGGTCAAACCGTAACAGAATCGGAGTTGTCCGATTCCATTTTTAATGATCGTTCACGTGACATTATTTGGTAGCCAGTTCTGGTGGCCTACGTAGGGCTTAGCATATCCTTAATCGCGTAGTTCATACAATTCTTTTGTTATACAGAATATAAACTCCATTTTGGATTCACTCGTGCGAATAGCTAACGTGACCAGTCATTTTACACTAATTTTGATTTCTTTTGACCTAACTCGGCGCCCACAGGCCCATGCAGGTGGATTTGAACCAATGTATATATTTATGAGGGGGAAACGTTGTGATACAAACCAAACCCCCCCATTGAAACTTATATCTGAAGTTATGAATGCATATTTATTCGTCATGGGCACAAGCCTTGCACTTAAAGAGCATGACACGGAGAAGGCTAGTCCTTCCAGACAACTGTATACGACGATAACTCAGTTTGATATTCGGACTTCTCATGTATTGGATGCATTCTCTGATACCACTCGAGCCCTTGTTGCTAGGGACTTTCATCCTTCCCTCAACCGCGAATATCCCCCAAAGAAAATACAGGAAAAACCTTTGGCAACCCTGCCATGCTTTTTTCATCTGGTAGATAGCTACCGTGCGAGATATGGCCTCGCTGTCATCCCTTTCTCGAGGGAAATAGGTCTCTAGGCCACCCAGACTCTAACTTGGAGAGACAACGATTACGAGGCGGGCCACAACACTCTCCATCGTTATCAGCTTTTAATGTATCGTTAGAAATATCTGAAATCGTAGCCTTGACGCTCACGAGTGTCACAGGTGCAACTAACTATCACGGTCTGGCGTTGTATAAATACTCGGATGTTCAGAATAGTTAATTGTAGTTGCGCAAGTAACGAAACTTATTACAAGCAGAGATCTATATCTAATTATCCTCGCTTAGAGTTACGCCATATTTCTCACGTGACTACGCCCTAAATAGTTGCCCCTGTGACAACGAGTACCCAAGGTCGTAAACACTCGAAAAAATTTGAGTCCCAGTATGCCCATCTTGTCGACGGCTAGGAATAACCACCGAAGAAGTTGGACAGGGAAATGTCTCGAGTCACAAAAAGGGACCGTCCATACGTACGTGGGTTGTTTGTTTCGGTCAGTGCTTGCATTCTGTATTTAGAACTGCATGTTATTCTATTTCTAGCGCACGTCTATATTTAGAGATCAAGAGATCAAGTCAATTATGATCTGTGTATATAGTCCTAGAATTCCGGGAGAAATAGGAATCAAGTTGTTTTTACTGAGTTATCTTTTACTTTAATTACATACACTTCGCCTGTCACAGGTCAGGCTCCCAGTTACCTGACACATCTGTATCCTCACCACTCGTTCGACCCACGACCCACGACCCAGCTACCTTCCTCCCCTAAGATATAGAGCCCGATTAAATCAACTGTCCCCTGTAGATCAATACCTAAGCCTTGTATATTTTGACTAAATTTCCTCCTTGCGGGTTTACATAACGTCATAAATTTGTAATGGGAGCTGGCTTGTAATTAATGGGGCAAGCTTCGGTTTATATTTAAAACAACTTCTTGTTCAGACGTTTGAGCGAGTTGATATGCGGTGGGTGGTGTGAGGTAAGTTAGAGGTTGAGAATTCGTATGAGAATGGTGGGACCGACATTGATGAGATATTGTCGAGGATAAATTACTCAAAATTACTTTCAACCTCGATTCGAACGCGATTGCTCTTGGCTATCCCAGATATACAGAGCGTGATGACTGATTACATTGGCACCACTGGGAGGGGAAGAATTCATCTATGCCTGCAAGCAACCTGTTGTAATTTCTGACTTTGACACAAATTCAGTGCTATTCATACACAGTGGATAAACATTTTGATGTTAGAGACTCTCATGGTCTGAATTTTATTCGCAAATTCCACCGCAAAGTTATGGTGGCTTTTTCTTCGCCCCATGTAAGCCCTCATCGGTGAATAATCACCCAGGGAAACACCTCAAAAACCCTAGGTTATGCAGACATGCCTCCATCATCTATTATCTTTCCTCGGCACGAAATGCAGTCTAAGGTGTCTTCTTCCCAAGTGGAGTAGGTGCACAGATTACTCTACCTATACCGGAGAACATCACCAGGAGGCGGATCACATCACTTTCCATCGTTTGCCAATTTTTGTAGTTTCAACTGCACTCTCGCAAGCGAAGTCTTGGCGCATACAAAGCTCAATTTGTAAATCTCCTTACCATAATTCGATATCTCACATCCGTCGAGATTGAATCCATCCTCTGTGTCATCTTGTAAACTCATACTGATTTCTGTAATGCCCATCCTAAAAGACTGACTCCAAGATTTGAATGCCCAACTTCGTTTCCTCCTTTGGCTATAAATATCGGCATGGGCGTGTATTTGGTGGACGGATGAGCCTAGAACATTGTCGATGACAGGTTTGGCCATTGAAATTAGTTTTTGCGAATTTGTACTATTAGACATGATGAGATTTTGGTGGGATTAAATCTCGTTTGGAGTGAAATATTGACTGCTAGAGAGTCTTGAATCATCGCATCATGGACCAACTTCTTTGATATTGCAATCTTTACCTGAATTTAGCCCGGAGAGAATATTTTACACCCAGGTTCGTAGTGAACACTGCGGACATGAATAAAATTTGGACTGCTTCCATGCTTCATTTTCGCAGTGAAATGCACTTGGTCTTAGAAGATTTATAAATGCAACCTTCGTCAAATTATCAACTCAGTCTACTAGGCCTTTATATCATGTGACTCTGCGGGAACTTGAGCACGCATCAACGTTGCCAAATTATGTCAATTCATCAACTAGAGATCAAATATTACGAATTGAATAGTCTACCTTCCAACTCGGGTACAATGATTACCAATGTATGCTATAAACTTTTAATCGACTTACGATAAAAACTAACTGTAGTTGATCCATTTAGACCCGTCGATTAATAGGTCTAAAGCCCGCTAAGCAGTTGATGAGATATAGCTCGTACAAGAGTCCCCATGGCCCGAAGTATGTTTGATCACTCACCGTCTGAAATCTACACTCCTCAAGTTTTATCTATCTTGGGCTAATATATCACAGATACGCCGTGCAGCCCAATATCGGTGGCTTCACTTTAAAACAAGCCAAAACACTGTATGGCATCCTTTCGATCACATTCATCCGTCTATTCAAACACGATACCCGAATACAATTATTTAAGATAAATCATGACTAACATTAAGCTTAGTGGCATAACTCTTGGTGGATTTGGTGGAGTAGCTGGCTTCTTTGCATTATTCTTCCTAGGGGATGTACCAAGAGTGCGGAAAGATATACTCGAAGTAAGTAGTTCAACATGTGAAGAAGTGTTAAATTTGAACTGATCATTAATAGAAAGTACCGTTCATCGGGAGTCATTTTAAGAAGGAAATACCAGCAAGTGATAATGTGAGTCAACTTGCCCCTAGATCTTCACATCTTTCCCCTGAAAAAATCCAATATGGTGGATCCCCAAGATTCTATGAACAGTCGATCAAGGCAAGTGCGCCGGAACGACTTGATCTGCGCGCATCCTCACTGGACACTGAAAGTTGGAGATCATCAAGGATTATTCAGACTTTCTAAGCTTAAATACGATACTAGAGGCTAATACGATTTCAAGCCATTTTAAGGCAATAGGTCGGTTGCGGTTGGCAGAGAGCTAAAACACGTATATCTATCAATTAAAGAGATAACATAGTTTACAAACTACTGTACAGTTGAAAGTGATAACCGATCATAGACTTGTAATTTTAGTTGCTATTCAAGTATCTCTGTGCCGAACAAGAATATCAATGTACCATTATTGTGACGGATTAATGTTACTTTTTTAAAAATGATATATCACACTGTATACAACATACTCCCGCATTGCTACAGGGTCGATTGCGGCAATAAATTTTGAATCAAAGAATCTTGAAACTATTGTAAAGGATGTGACTATGACCTCTCACTATGACTCATCCATCAATCGTGAAACTCAGCTTTACCGACCTCCAACTAACAGGTCGCATCTTTAGAGATTAACTATAAATCTAGATCCCCTTTGAACCTCATAATTAAACGCCTGCCTAAAATTTATACAAGGAATTACTCGCAACGATTTACTACGGGCAATTGCTACCTTGCCTCACAGACCATATGATAATAATTCAGTGCTGGTAACTGAAGCGTGAGATAACTGATTAACTAATTCGCAAGCCTTAATATTTAACTTATTCCCTTTGTGTAAATATATTTGGGCAGAATCTGATCATTGACATGGTAAACCATCATCAAACACACAGTGTGCAAAAATCCCTAGAGTTCAAAGAGAGGGGTAACAAATGCTTTCAGACTGGTAATTTTAAAGATGCAGAAGCATTTTATACAGAATCGTTTGTCAAACTTTCTCAAGATGACACCTACTGAGTCTTTACCAGAATTAAATATGACCCAAATAATCCAGTTCTTTACACGAATCGATCAATGGCGCTTTTGAAACTATCTCTATTCAACCGGGTGATTAGCGATGCTGAACATGCTATCTCTCTTTTGCCTCAGAATATGAAAGCTTATTTTCAGCTTGCGCAAGCTCAGCTAGCTCTTGACAGTTCTTTTGATGCGCTACTATCAGCAGAGAAAGCTCATAAACTATGTCTACATGAAATACAAGTCGGGGGCAAGGGTGGTAGTAGCATTGGTCCGATTACTGAGTTAGTTTTGAGGTGCAAGAAGATAAATTGGGAGAGAAAGGAGTGTGAAAAAGAGAAGAAGCGCTGTAAGCTTCTAGCGGAAGTGATTAGTGGATTGGAAGGTTCACGAGATCGAGAAATGGACCAACTTAGGAGTCTAGGTGAAGATGAATCTACCATTAAGGATGTCCACGAAAAGTATGATAGTATGGTAGAAGAAACAAGAAAGATATGGGCATCAGCTACTGGGGAAAGAAAAAGAGAAGTCCCGGAATGGTGCGTGGACAACATAACATTTTCGGTGATGCTTGATCCAGTCGTCGTGAGTTTACGTTACTACAGGGCCTATCTCGATAATCTGACATTTCTGGTAGACAAAAACTGGACAGTCTTATGATCGCTCATCTATCATGGAACACCTAAAACGTTCGAAAACAGATCCACTGACGCGTGAACCTCTCCGCCTGGAAGATCTCCGACCTAACTTAGCATTACGTTCCGCCTGTGAAGAGTTTCTGGAAGAAAATGGATGGGCGGTGGATTGGTGAAAGCTTCAGTTGGGGATCAGTCAAATTTTAATCTAACTATATAGCACAGTTCATTCTTTGTTTCTGGGTACTCTGCGAAAGCACGATGATTTAGCACGTAATTCAAGCATTCGTTACTTCTGTAATGCTTTATTTCCTTTTCTTTCCACTTAAGCAGACTTTTACAATCTCTGAAGTTGATTCATGGTATCGCCCGGTTATCTCATAGTTGGGTGTTAATCATTGTAAAAGACTGAGTTGTTAAGGAGCAAATGGCATAGCGAAAGATTTCTGAATTATTCATTAATTCATATATATAGTTGCGCAGCGCTCCAGATAGATTATAAAAAGATAGTCTTTGGAGTGAAGAGTATGGTATTTGGTCCCTTAGTTGGTAGGGATTTTGCAGAAGTATCTCATTCCCACACAATTCTTATTCAGTAGGAACCACCGTTCTCGACTCACAAGATACTCTCGGCCCTAATTCGGTGAAGTAAGTCACTTCTTCGAACTTCCACTGCTCTTTGAAGAATCCAGGTCTAAAGCTTAGAATGTTGACGGGTCAGCGGCCATACAATTTTAAACTTAGATCTCTGTAATGCTTGAGATTGTTAAGGACTGATAAAAACGATTTACAAGTTTTTCCTGGATCAAGAATATTGTTCGAAGTAAGTTCCCTCCGACTTTTTGCCAATATATACTGAGGGTTGGTTATTGTTCTGTGTTTTAATTTCCTGAGAAGTCGCCAAACTTCACAGTCCTTAGGGCTTATTCGTGAGTAGGGCCAGAAAGGATCAGATAACAACCATTAAGGACATGCACCTTGTACAATCTGAATGACCCTGCTTTGCCAGGTTCTGTGCATATGGTTTATCATGCCCAGTCCAACCATTTGTAGAGCTCGATTTTTTTTACTGATTTTAGGTCCTTAGCTATGCTCTATATCTCCTAGGAGTCAAGGACCGGTGTAGACAGCCGAGATCATGCTTCCCACATTCTCACCTCGATCTCACTGCGTGAACCACTACACTATCAGTAGCTTGTTAAAAAAAGAGAAAATAAAAACTCCCATAACCAAAATTCCAACCCCAGTGTTCCTATTTGTGGTTGGAAAACAAAACTCATCGTCTCGTTTTCCTACATGTTTTGATTTGTGCTATGATCTTGTTAACGCCGTCTCCGCTGAGAGCTGGAGACGGACTCGCGGTTGGGCCCCCGAATCAGCCGGTTTCCCGAGCAAATGTTGTAAAGTTCTCGAGGCACTTAGGCCCTAGAAGCTTATGGATAAAGTCGTGATGTAACATTGCCTCTCGAAGTCGACGCGTCTAGCGTGCATGCAGTCGACAGTAAATGAAGTGGAGAGGTGATGTTTCCTCCCCACACGCACACTCCATTGAAACGGCGGTGACATGTCGCGAAGTTTCCGTAGCTCGTACGGGCTGAGATTTGTTCACGAAGCAGCCGCCAGGAACGTGCCTGCTCGCGTGACTTGCATCGTCGCATGAGAAGACCCAGATTTCGATAGCGCCCTAAATTGGCGTACTTCGTCGAGGCTTGTTGTGGCAGTTCCCTTAGACAGTGCCTTCAAAACAAACTGACTGTACATTAACACGTTGATCCGCTGTCTGTCGTCACTTCCCCCGTTCTCCCTCTCTTACAATCCTAGCGCAGCTTCCAGAGCTTTTCTCGCCCCTACAATTTCTCCATCAAGCACTTTACCACCATACTTGATGCCACATCCCTTCAACTGAGTTTTTCCATCTCTCTTCGAGACGAACCCCCATGCTGAGCGACCATACCCCTCCGACAATCCATCCGAGTAGGCACAAATATCCGATGCTCGCACACTGTGCAAGAGATGGGTTATCTTGTCCTCCTCCTCTATCCTTGGGCTGAAGCTCAAAAGATAGCATGGCGACGGCAAAGGCTCGGCATCTTCCAGTTCCGGGAGTTCTCGGTAAGCTCGCTGTACTCATGACATCTGGAGAGCCCTATTTTGACGCGCCGTAACATAATTACATACTCAGATTCAAACATCATTCGTCAGATTCCTTGATGACTTCCAGATCTATAATTTTTCCTTAATGTTAAGACCCAGTAATTCCTCGTCCCAGCTTCTCAACATTTCATCCAGGTGTCGTCTTATTCATTAGAGGTCTCATCTTATCTCCTACAGAGGTCTTCTGCATTTTACTTCACTTTTTCCACACACTGATCTCTTCATCATAAAAATTCAGAGAACCATCAGTCTCTCCGGTCTTAACCCGTCGCTGCTGTAACCGTAACTGTGAAGGCTGAATATTGGACCAAGAGTTCAAGACCAAAGTACCGATGCCTAAGCCTTTGTCAAATTTTCTAGTTGATGTTCCGGCGAAGTTTCGATCGTAACTCGTCAGCGGCGTGTCGTCGCAGGTCGAGTTGCTAGTGCTATTGGCTAAATTATAGACAAATATATGGCCGGTAATTCGACTGTACTGTCAAGGTATAATGCTGTAATTACATGAAATACTAAAGCGATCAGGTGACGTACTATGTATTTTATTATTTTGCATCAGATTTTAATTGCGTATGCAGCTATCTAGCTATGATACAATATCAAAGAAAAGTACAGAATAGATGATTCAACGTGAAGGAAGAGCACTCATGCCTCAGATTTCATTTGCAGGTACCACTGCGGAGTTATGGTGGCTTTTTCTTCACCCCAAGTCAACCCTCATCCGTGAATACCCACCCAGGGGAACGTCTCAAAAACCTTGAGTTATCCAGACATGCCTCCATCATCTTTCAACTTTTCTCCGCGCGAAATGTGGTCTGAGATGTCTCCTTCCCAAGTGGAGTAGGTGCCCAGGCTACTCAAACTATACCAGAAAACATCACCAGGAGGCGTACTACGGCACCTTCCATCGTCTGCTTGTTTTTATAGTGTGAGCTGCACTCTCGCAAGCGAAGTCTTGGCGCGCACAAAGCTCAATTCGTAAAACTCCTTGCCAAATTTCGAAATTTTATGCACTTCGAGGTTATATCCTTCCTTCGCATCATCTTGTGAACTTGTCCGAATCCCTCTCACGTCTATCCCAAAGGACTGTCTCCCAGATTTGTGCGCCACGCTTTGCTTCATCCGTCGGGTGTAAATATTGGCGTGGGCGTGTATTTGGTGGTCAACTGAGGCCAGAGAAAGTCGACGAGAGGTGTGGTCATTGGGATGAGGATGTACTAGGTCGTACTTGTAGACTTGATATAACTTAGGTAGGAGTCAAACTCGTTGGGGGCGAAAAAACGACGTGGTGGAGTAATTTGAATCATTGCTCCGTGGGCCAACTTCTTTGGTGTTGCAAAATCTGACTGAACTTGTCTCTGTGAGAATTTATCACTCCCAGGTTCGTAGAGGACACCGCGTACAGGTGTTCAGTCTTGCCCTCCTACGTACTATTTATATTATCTTCAGGAGCTACATTTAAGTTCCCTTACCCTCTTTGTAGACAATCTAATTCACCAGATTTGACCTCGTCGATCTTACTTAGCTTACTGCGACACGTACCTTCACTGAGAGCGAAAGTTATGGTGAGATAAATTTGCATTTTTATCTTAGATTTTGAGAATGACTTTACTATTTTAATGTGATTTGGTTCATGGTAAGATGATTTTCGGGAGAGTCATGAGTTGGGTTTAGAAGGTAAAGATTTTCCAGGAAAATCAGTCATGAGGAAGATTATCAGTTATATAAGTGCAATAGGTAGAAAAGTTTTATTATGTTTGCAGTCCGTATTTGGAACGTAAATGTTTTAATATACTGTTTTGAGTAATTGTGAAATCTCTGCACATCGCCATTTTGACGAAATCCTTAAATAACTCTTTGTGCTGTGAATGAATCTCGGCTTTGGGAGGTATTCCACTCCCAGGCTCGTCGAGGATAATAGAGACAGATGCTCTGCATTCGTCTTGCTCAGAAGTGGTTTGGTTTGGTTTGTTCATTAACATGCTAGGTAAAGTGACTACCGCTGCACTCCTCCTGAAGCTTAAGCACGGGTGGGGCCGGGCTGGATCAGGTTAACTACCATTAAGTACATCTACCTCGTCCCACCTGAATGACCGGATCACCTCAGAATTCACCCATGTGTTGAATCATATCAAGCCCAAGCATCTAGAGAACCCCCTTTTGGCGCGCCGAAGCGCAAATTCCTCCTCAGCCTCGATCACCACGCGCCCGAACCCTTGACACCTTCGTCATCTGTAAATTTTTACTTCGATTCGTTCCCAGCTTTGGCTCATCTTAGCATCTCCTCATCTCATCCAGGTGTCGTTTTCTTCACTGGAGGCCTCATCCAGTCGCACACCAAGGCCTCCTCAGTTTGGATTCCCTTTAATTCCTTCATGCAGCATCCCTCTGTCCTTCAGTCGATCTTGTCATCCTAGAAACTTTGTAGAATTTCCACCCCTCCAGCCTTGCCCCGTCGCTGCCGTGCCCCTAACTGTGGAGGTCGAAAAAGCGACTGAGAGCTCAAGACCGAGGCACTGGTGCTCCAGCCTTTGTCGAACGCTCTGGTTGGTGTGCCGGCGAAATATCGTACTTATTTCGTCGGTGGCGATTCGTCGTAGGTCGAGTTGTTGGTGCTCTTGGCCGAGGTGAGGACGCATCTAAGGCCGGTATTTCGACCGTACCTTCACAGCGACTGGCAGTTGAGGAGGGTCGGACATCATCTTGCTTCTTTGTTGGCGATTTGAATTTTGGAGGTATGGGATTGCTCCGGTAGGTGATGAGATGATTGCGGAGAGGGCCGCGAGATGAGTTTGGCTGGGAATGATTTTCCAGAGAAAATAAATTAAGATCCTGAAGGTGTCGGTTGTTATGATACGAATATCAGATAGTTTTGAGCCTGTCTGCGGTTCGTATCTGGGGTGTAGATGGTTAATTTCGTTGAGTTGTGCAGTCGTGAAATCTCTGCAAGTCGGATTTTCGACCAAAAATGAGCCAACACCACTCCTCCCGAATACCAACTCGACGAAAACTCTCAAGTTCACTCTTTGTCGTGACTGAATCTCGGCTCTGGGAGAATATTTCACTCACAGGTTCGTAGAGGACACCACTGATAGGTGTTCAGCCTTCGTCCTCCTGCTCAGAAGTGGGAGGGTAGCTGTTGATAATAGTTTCGAGCACTTGTCTGAATGATATTCTCCGATTTAGGGATGGTTTTCCACGAGGGTGGAGCCTGCGGGGCTCAGATTTGATCAGAATGAGGCTTCATCATGAGAATAAGTCTATGTCGCTACTTTAGGGATGGGAGTAAGGATGATGATTCGTAATTAGTATGTAAGTTTCTAGTCAGCACTGGAGTGAAAACAAGGTCGTGAAGCATTACTGGACGAATGAATCAAGATTTTCATCAAACTTCTGGAGAATATATATGAGCCCTTTAGAAATGTGCTCAATCAAATATTGAGCATCCTAAATCTCTCTAGCCTGAAATGCTACAATCAATCGTATATGCCCGATGGCTTCAATGTCATAAAATCCTCAGTATCACAGGAAAACAAAACACGCAGGGCGACAACTGAACACCCATCTCTGGTGTCCTCCCTGTGCAATGTATTCAAAAGTTGTTGTGTAACAACTTTTTTGACCTTCTCTATCGGTAGATTTGATTAGCTTCTCGATAAATTTTTTGATGGCAAATATGTTCTCAATCTTAACTCAGCATCATAGAATTTTAAAAGCGAGCTATCTCGGTTCAACGAGCTCTAGTATGCAACAGAGTAATTCTAAGACCTATGAGATTATCACCGGTGGAAGGGTGGCCTCAAGGAGGCACGGTAATGATTACTTCAAGTCAGGACATATATTCCCAGCTTGTAGGCAAAAGTGAGTCACAAGCTCTTTCATTGTAACAGAATTGATAGGAAATTTTCAAAGAATAAGTTCAAGAGTGTGTGGACGACTGAGAAAACTTGTCAGCGCTGCGTGTGAGTTTTTAATAAGTTGCCTCGCCTTCCCTCCCAGCGTCAAGAAAAAGTCTATTGACCCAACGATGAGGGTGATCTCGAGATATTGAACAGAGTGGGACTCGAACCCACGCCACTTTCGTGACCAGGAAACGATAATCAAACCTTAACCTGGCGCCATAACCAGCTCGGCCATCTGTCCGCTGACGAGGTGTCATAGATAACATCTATAGACCATTATTTGTTCACAAAAACTCGGCTTTCATGATACTGAATGCAGCGATAAGGGAGCGGAACAAAATATTTTATAGGCAAGAGAGAGAAATCTACGTTTTTTACACAATCTGAGTCTTGGACTATCTTGTTAATCTGGGTGCCCCTCTGACCCAGGCCACATCTTTTACAGTGATCCTTGCCTCCTTTGTTACTTGAAAGATCATTGATATATTCCCCTTGATGAATAGCCATTCAGCTCAGTGTTTACCCGTGGAATTCGGCCACCTTTTCCACGGAACCTTCTACCCAAAAAAAGAAGATAAGATAAAAATTTATATTATAGACCATTCTGAGTCTAAGACTATGGAGGACCTCTAGAATCTACCATTAAAATTCTGGCTACTATTTCAATGTTAAAATGAAGTTATTTAATTTGTTCCCAAAATAAGAAAAATAGTAGCAATGGAAAATGCGTGCGCGGGGAAAAGTCTCAAAAAACCTGCGGCCCCAGCCAGGCGAGGCCTAGACACCGGGACAACATGAGGTGCGCATATTCATCTTGTCTCCCTTCTTTGTAACAGTCGAGGCCGATTTGATCCAATCCGCCATCTCCGTATCGGGTGCTTCGTACGCTCCGGAAACTCATCGAATGGCTTCTCCTCCATGATAATGGTGATAGGGGGATGTGTTGAGAGAAGAAGACGATATAGATCGCGCAAGCGATTGGGAATCCTCGTCGAAGTGAGGACATTGTTACTCAATCTCGGCTCTGCAGACCCTACAGTGAGGGCTAGAGGTTTCTAGGGGACATCACTGACAGGTGTTGAGAATATTCCACCTTTAACGGACTTAAGTCTGCTCACAACTTGAGATCAAAAATACTCCTGAATATAAACATATATTAAATACACGACTCCCCTATTCTAAAGACTAGTAGCTATCTTCCAAACAAACCCCAATTATCAACGGGTGAGTCTGTTGCCAATAATGCCAAGCGCACGGGTATTGTCCGACCTTGAATAACAGCGGAACTTAGCGCTGGCATATTGAATACAGATATGCTGAACAGTATAGACTACAGGTACTTTAAGGGCTTACTAGCTGTCACAAGAACTATATAGACTCATAGTGTTGAAGCTTTGTCGTTTAGTGATAGAAATGATGTAGAGGTATTTGGCTCACAATGTATCAGACAACTGGGATGTGGATGTTTGAGTTCCTTACTATTGTTATTGTACTAGTTAGGGTTGTTTTCTCTACATACAAAAGGGATTTCTCCATCTACAATTGGGCCAAATTGCTTAGATCTAGCTAGCGGCTTTCGCCATTCTGTTCCTTCTCTCCCGCATGTCATCACATGCGGGACATCTACTGCTCATCATCAAGTCCGAGGATAAAAAGAGTCAGATTACAACATGCAGGGGATCTGAACGGGATAATTGAAATCAAATCAAATCAGTACTATCTGTTGCAACACGGAGTTTCAGACCAAGTCGTAAGCATCACGTTGAGGTCGAGATTAGTATACAAAGCGAGCATCGCAAAACCTACTGTTTTGCGATGAGTTGGAAGCATCCTCTCTGTAACCTAATTGCTACACAATCATCAATCTACTGCACTAACGTTCAATACTATCCATATACTGACATGAACAAAATCTCATAAAGCTGATGACTAAACATGTGACGCATAGCCCTTAAAACTTTGCCAGTTCAACTATGGGGCATGAAGCTTAGAAACTATTCTCGGTGAAAATTTGTTGAGTAGTATTTCAGTCTATTCCTTGCTAGAGAACTTGCCTATTTTACCGGTTCAGATCAGTTTAATACAAACTATTTGACGATGGCGAGGTGAAATATTCGGTTTCTAATTCCACCTTCTAGTCACTCGAGGAGATTTTAGCGTTAGTATATATCTTTATTTTAAACATAAAACTATATATTTTCCATTTTATGAGTACTAAGTCAAGAGAAATCAAATTCTTAGCGATAGACTCCTTATTTCAGTAAGAATTTGAGTCCGGTCGGTATGGAGGATAATGAATATGGATAATAATTCAACGGCTTTTATACACTTGGAATATATTAAAACTACTGCTAGTCCCATAGTTTTCTGTAATAACTTCGGCTCCATTTGTTATAGCCTGATAGTTTATTTAAGTTCAGCGTCCCCTTTTGATGGTGAGGTTCTCGATGATAGTTTCATTTCATGGGTGACCGGGCTGTATAAAGTTGGTGGTGTGTTCAGGGGGATACCATCATCATTTCTTTTCGTAGAAAGCGATTTTCACCCACCAAATATTACTGCGAACATGAGGCCATTACTTATCAGCCATTCAGATAATTTAGAGAGTTCGGTTGTATCCTTAACAAACCAATCTTATAACGAATCCTATTCATAGCCATGAATGAGTTTTATAAACTTAGCCTGTCCAAACTCCATCTATCCTGACTTCTATGTCGTTTTACGACACCTAGCTTGAAATATTTCTCTTCTCCAGTAGCGGTTCGCCCACCTATGTACCATTTTTCAGTGCCGAGCACATCTCTGAAGTCTTCACTCGAGCTATCACTTCCTCGTCTAGCAGTAGTATGGCTTGAATGATTTTTTTCGATTTCTGACGGCTGTACTGGTGATCGTGAAGATGGACTTGTAGAGTTTGTACATGGAGAATGAAGTGACGTTAAGGTTGTAGCACTCCCCTTTGCCCCAGTAGTAATCGACCTGGGCTGAGAGGGTGAGGCGGACTGAGGGTGTGATACAGAATGTGCTGCTGGCACTGACGAGCTTGAAGATGTAGAGGCTTTGCTCTGTTGGATAATAGAATGTGCTCTGAAAGCAGCTAGAAAGTTGGTAAGAAATGGGCGCTGCGTTGTCGGCATTTCAGCTCTAGTTTGTAGCTGAAGTCCTAAGAGAGGATGGTCGTTTAGATCGTTAGGGGCAATGAAGAGAGTAGGAATACGAATTATAAGCAATACGATGAGCCTATGGATTGTATATTGTCATGTTAGATAAAGAACGAGAATAGTGGGGCAGGTTTGGATGTGTACCCATCTTTTTGGCTTCGGCAAGCCAAAGACCAATCACGCGCAGAATAGTGTGTTCACATAATGGGATCGGAAGTCCAAAGTACATAATCCTCCGTCTAGTTTCGATAAACTTAAGTCTGCGCGCCCGAGCGCGTGTCCATGAATCATCAGTATGTAGAATACACACTTGTGAAACGAAATACCTGCATTAATTTTGTCTGTGACGAGTGAGAATGAGAACTTAGTCGACCCACTTTCTAATGGGCCCTGAGCCATTATATCAGAGATCTTTTTTTGTAAAAAAAGAGGATGAAAGCATTCCTCAAGGTGTGGTCTGGGGCAGAGAGGAGCCAAATGTGCTGGATTACCATTGATTTAAGTGTCACAATAAAAACCAACCCAACTAGCTCTAAGCTTGCAACTGATGCCATAACCTTTTCTAAATCCTTTATGAGTAAAAGAACCCCATTATTTGGTATACCAGAGATTTCTCGTTCACAGGCACTCCATTTTGCTTGTTAGAGAGGTTATTGTAATAATATTCCTACACATTTATATCCCTCTGTATCAGCGTGAGCATCTTCGCTACAACACTAGTGATTTATTCAACCGAATAATATGGGCATTGACTGTAATGACAGAGAAGGTGACTGATGAAACTTTGGCCTAGGCTCAGATCTCTTAATAATATTTGGAAACAATGCTGGTCGGGGGATGTTTTTATGTAGCGTTGACACTTGCGGCAGGAGAGGCCGTGAAGCCCACGGACCAGCCACTAACTACGACCTTGTGGGCTCAAATGAATACGTGTCTTACAAATCAGGCCAAAGCGACATGGCTTAGGGAGAAAGTTGGTAATTCTTCTCAAATGGCTTTAGTTCATATCAAGAAGCTACTACAAGCAAGAAAATTTGAATAATTAGGTAATATTACAGGCTGCTACATAGAGTCGATTCGGTCTATATTCAGCACTTACCTGACACGATGTAGTCACGCAAATACTTGTGGTGTTTTGGGCCCGGAAGATTCGGATCATAGTATCCCCGCGCAAGGTTCGACATAAATGTTGTATTTACCAACTTTATACAATATTACAACTCCTTATCTGGAGTAGCTTCATAGATAGAGAGGATATACCCCACGGATCTCAACAGATCTTCGTATACAGATATACTTGTACAATCAGGGCCCAGTGATATTGGTATCCAAGATTCACGGTAACAGGTAGGACGAAAGCTGACACTGATGTCGACTATAAACCTACTGATGAGATATTCCCTCAGAGCCTAGATATTAATAAATAGATTACTCAATTGTCCTAATCTGGCGCCTTGAGGCCAATGAAGGTTTTAATCGGAAGAAATGTATTTTGAGTGGGGTGACTCAATTTGACGTTTAGAACACTCACTCAGATTTTATTTGCAGATACCACTCGAGGTTAACCCTTAAGGCGTACAACTTCTTCAGTGACTATGTGTGTGTTTTTATTGTACTACTTGGGCCATAGACTATCTAGCATATTGGGTCTTCCGTGTATACCCGCTACAGGGAAAATCGTGAAAAACCTATGGTTATCCGAGTGTGCTTTTGTCACCCGACAAATACAATATCACCGCCAGAGAGAGTGGTGTGTGGGTTTTTTCTGGACTCGAACCAGCTTTCTCCTATCTCAAATGGGGTAGGTGTTCAAGCTACCCAGAATCTGCTTGGGTGAACGGCCCGAATGGTGCACCACTACACCATCAAACCCTGCCGGATCCTATATTTTATCAATTCTACTCGGAGTTCCATTGTATCACCCTGTATGTCCAGGTCACGGGACATTGCGTGGAGAAGATTAGTGGGTACTTGTTATGTAATCATATATTAGCGTGCTTCTAACATTAGGAGTTTATTTTTTTTAATTCATAGTGTATTCAGCTATCTATCTATGACAATCACGAGGTATTAAAATGGTAGAGAGGCAGCCTTAGGAATGTAAGATAGATTGGCTATGGAAGGAGAAATAGGAGTAACTACAGCGAGCTCTATATACATGAGGTGTGGGTGTTTGCTGAGTAATGCCAAGACAAGATTGGCATTCATGTCACGTGTAGGTGTTTCATGTTCAAGCACCTACACTGCCTTGCTCATTGCATGTTTGGAGCCCTGAGGGCGTAACTATGACACATCTGATTATTTTATATATAAATACAAATATTTAGTCCCAATTTCCTTAACTTATCTTCTAGTCTCCTCACTTTCAGTCAGCTTTGGATGCATTCATGCATCCACTGCTTTGAAGGAAGTGGAGAGTTGCTTCTTTTCCAATTTTTGTATTAACCAATTTTTGAATTAAACAATATCTCTAATCTCAATGGCAATATGCCTTTAAAAGCTTCCTTTCTCTCAGTCTTAAACTTACTACAATAAAGAAGTAGGTGTTGAATAGTCTGGTTTCCCTTCCAACAGAAGTTGCAAGAGTTATCCTTCACTTTTTTAATTCGAAATAAATGGGCCCTGGTATTTCCAATCCCTATTCTTGCTTGTATAAATGAAGTTTGTGTCATTCTACTGTAATGACTGAAGTTGTATGGTCTCATTTTGATGTTATGTGATCTTTTCATTAGCAATTTCCCGTTAGCATCATGAACGAAAAACTTACATCTGACTTAACGAACTCCACAGGCATCCCGTGATACTAGTTAAATGCTTGCTTTGAGTTCCAAGTCACCGTAAGCCACTTTGCAACCCCTACACACGAACGCACAACCCGTCTCAAGGAATCATAATCTAGTATTAAATCTTGTTGGCCCGGACCTACTCCAAACATTAAGATTTAGACGCACACGAGACCGGTTATTTGGCCGTATATTCACAGCGCGCGGTAGTTACTAAAATTTGGACATCCGCTTGTATATCATATCGTGATTATGACTTTGATGTTTAGATTGCCCTGATAGGTCGTGAGCTAAGCTGAGTTGAATTGCGAGAGATCTTCCGGGAATGGCAAATATGTTTAAGGAAAAAAGTTGTCTTTGTCACAACTCCAGTCAAGCTTCGGCCTGTCTCCTGTTAGTTTCGGAGTTAAAATGACAGATGTCAGTGATTTGGGTAGTCGTGAAGTCTCTGCAGGTCAGGGTTTGACCAAAAACTTGCCAATAATACTCTTCTCGCCCCCTATTTCGTCGGAAACTCACAAGTGCAACACTTCGTGTGACTATATCTGGGCTCTGGGTTGGATAGTGTAGCGGTGCACCATTCGGCCCGTTCTCCCAAGCAGAATAGAATAGAATTTAATTTAAATCCCTACTGAGTCAATGACTATGAAGGACTGCTACAACTACATGAAAAGCTCTAAATTTTTATATGAAAGTTGTTTGTTGATATATTCAATGTTTACCAATGGATATTAAGGGTCAAGCCCTGTCTCCCAAGTAGATTCTGGGTAGCTTGAACACCTACCCCACTTGAGATAGGAGAAAGCTGGTTCGAGTCCAGAAAAAACCCACACACCACTCTCTCTGGCGGTGATATTGTATTTGTCGGGTGACAAAAGCACACTCGGATAACCATAGGTTTTTCACGATTTTCCCTGTAGCGGGTATACACGGAAGACCCAATATGCTAGATAGTCTACGGCCCAAGTAGTACAATAAAAACACACACATAGTCACTGAAGAAGTTGTACGCCTTAAGGGTTAACCTCGAGTGGTATCTGCAAATAAATCTGAGTGAGTGTTCTAAACGTCAAATTGAGTCACCCCACTCAAAATACATTTCTTCCGATTAAAACCTTCATTGGCCTCAAGGCGCCAGATTAGGACAATTGAGTTTTCTATTTATTTTATAGGGTTAAAAAGAACGTGTGTATGGAGGGCGAGACTGAACACCTGTACGCGGTGTCCTCTACGAACCTGGGAGTGATAAATTCTCACAAAGACAAGTTCAGTCAGATTTTGCAATACCAAAGAAGTTGGCCCACGAGGCAATGATTCAAATTACTCCATCACATCGTATTTTTGCTCACAACGAGTTTGACTCCTACCTAAGTCTCATCTAGTCTAAAAGTACGACCTTATATATCCTCATTCCAATGATCAAACTTCTTGCCGACTTTCTCTGGCCTCAGCAGGTCACCAATTACACGCCCACGACGATAATTGGACCCGACGGAGGAAGCAAAGCGTGGCGCACAAGTCTGGGAGACTGTTCTTTGGGACGGACGTGAGAGGGATGAGGACAAGTTGATAAGATAATGCAGAGGATGGATACAGTCTCGACGAGCGTGGAATTTTGAATCTTGGCAAGGAAATTTTACAAATTGAGCTTTGTGTGTGCCAAGTCTTCGCTTGCGAGAGTGCAGGCGACACTATAAAAACTGCTATGGTTGGATGGTATTGTGGTACATCGTCTTGGCCGGTCTGCCAAGTAGAGTCTGGATAGCTTGGACATATATCCCACTCGAGACAGGATATGGCTTGTTCCAATCCGTCAAAACACAACCACTTTTCTCGCGGCGCTGGTAGACATGGATAACGAAGGCATGTTTGGTTAACCAAAGGTTTTTAAAATCCCTTTGGTGGGAACTTACGGAGGAGGGTCGACTGTTTGTGTAAGCGAACATACCTCATAGTGGTATTTGCGAGTGAAATCCAGAGTATGAGTGTCTCTAACGTCAAAAGAGTCATCCAACATGTATACATAGTACCGGTCATGTGTCATGGTGTTCTCTGGTATGGTTTGAGTAGCCTAGGCACCTACTCCACTTGGGAAAGAGACACCTCAGATCACATATCGCGCGGAGAAAAGTTGAAAGATGATGGAGACATGTCTGGATAACTCAGGGTTTTTGAGACGTTCCCCTGGGTGGGTATTCACAGATGAGGGTTGACTTGGGGTGAAGAAAAAGCCACTGTAACTTCGCAGTGGTACTTGCAAATGAAATCTGAGGCATGAGTGCTCTTCCTTTACGTTGAATCATCTATTCTGTACTTTTCTTTGATATTGTATCATAGCTAGATAGCTGCATACGCAATTAAAATCTGATGCAAAAAAAAAAAAATAGCTCAATACACATTAAATGATTAAAAAAGAAAAAAAGGAGTAATATTGGATAGTACTCCTTGCTTGCTTATCTAGTCGTCGGACTAGACATGGGCCTGCATGAAGACCATGCCAACTAAGGCAATATGTACAGGGATCTAGCCCCAGTCATTTTGACAATTGTACTATTACACCCCACAGGAGACTGTAACATCCTTAAGACACTGCAGGTCATTCTACAATGTTATTTGGGGGTTTTACATGCCTAGATAGCGCCACATTCGTTTATGCTGTGGCTTAATCTCTGTATGATGGCTTGTGAGCCGATAAGTCCTGTAGCCTTCTTTTATTTGGCATCAGATTTTAATTGCGAATGCAGCTATCTAGCTATGACACAATATCAAAGAAAAGTACAGAAAAGATGACTCAATTTACAAGAGGGGCACTCATGCCTCAGATTTCATTCACAAGTACCACTGCGAAGTTATGGTGGCTTTTTCTTCACCCCAAGTCAACCCTCATCTGTGAATACCCACCCAGGGGAACGTCTCAAAAACCCTGAGTTATCCAGACATTCCTCCATCATCTTTCAACTTTTCTCCGCGCGAAATGTGGTCTTAGGTGTCTCTTTCCCAAGTGAATTAGGTGCCCAGGCTACTCAAACTGTAACAGAGAATACCACCAGGAGGCGGACCACAACACCTTCCATCGTCTGCTTGTTTTTATAGTGTGAGCTGCAATCTCGCAAGCGAAGTCATGGCGCGCACAAAGCTCAATTCGTTAAACTCCTTGCCAAATTCCGAAATTTTATGCACTTCGAGGTTATATCCTTCCTTCGCATCATCTTGTGAACTTGTCCGAATCCCTCTCACGTCCATCCCAAAGAACTGTCTCCCAGATTTGTGCTCCACGCTTTGCTTCCTCCGTCGGGTATAAATATGGGCGTGGGCGTGTATTTGGTGGCCAACTGAGGCCAGAGAAGGTCGGAGGGCGATGTGGTCATTAGGATGAGGATGTACAAGGTTGTACTTGTAGGCTTGATGAGACTTGGGTGGAAGTCTAATTCGTTGGGGGAGAAAAAACGGCGTGGAGGAGTAATTTGGATTTTTGCCTCGTGGGCCAACTTCTTTAATGTTGTGGAATTTGACTGAACTTGGCTCTGGGAGAATATTTCACTCCTAGGTTCGTAGAGGACACCGCGTACAGGTGTTCAGTCTTGCCCTCCTCTGGATGTGTATAAGTAGCAGAGGAGACTTGCAGATAGTTTGCTTCTCTATAGATGAATTATAGATTTGCCTTTGAATCATAAAAATGCCCATTTGCCCTCTAAATTCGAACTGTGATACTCTGTGTCGCTTACAGTTGTACTTGTAGCGCACACTTCCCTCACTTCTATTCAACTTCGATCGATCCATAAATTTTACGCTCATTACATGGCGCGATATTTCTAACACACAGTGCTGTTGAAATTTAGAAGTACTAGACCCAACTGCACGCAGTGCAGAGTAGACGAAGACTACTCATCTTCTATCGCTACCAGCTTAAGTGATGTCTCGGTTGGTAATGATCTCGGTGGTGAAACTATTATTCCAACACGTAATCAGAACACAATGTTTCTACCTAAGCGGGCTAGAACAAATATAATCAGCAGTAAATTTATATCTGACACTTAAACAAGTTCGACAAACTAAAACCTCACTGATTCTCATCTTTTATCTTTTATCTCTGATCCTAAAATCCCCATTATCTTCGAATCCTTGTAGTACTGACTTGACGGTTAATGTTCACTTCTATTATTCCAGATAGGGGGACTATTCTCAACACCTGTCAGTGGTGTCCCCTACGAAACTCCAGCTCTCACTGTAGAGCCTGCAGAGCTGAGATTGAGTAACAAAGTCCTCACTCCATAAGTATTGTCAATCGCTTACGCGGTCTGTATCGTCTTCATCTCTCAATACATTCCCCTATCACCATTATCATGACGCTAACTACGATCAGATCAGATGTCAGGGTCGGAGCCCTACTCATCACCAACCCTTGATTATGGAGGAAAAGCCATCCCATGAGTATCCGGAGCGTACCCAGCACCCGATACGGACATGGCGGATTGGATAATGTTGACCTAGAATGTTATAAAGAAGGGAGATGTAGATGAATATGGGCACCTCATGTGGTCCCGGTGTATAGGCCTCGCTTGGCTGGGGCTGCAGGTTTTTTGAGATTTTTCCCGCGCACGCAGTTTCCATTGCTACCATTTTTTTTTTTTTTTTTTTTTTTTTTGGGTAGAAGGTTCCGTGGAAAAGGTGGCCGAATTCCACGGATAAATACGGAGCTGAATGGCTATTCATCAAGGGGAATATATCAATGATCTTTCAACTAACAAAAGAGGACAGGAGCACTGTACAAGGTGTGGCCTGGGTCAGAGAGGAGCCCAATGTGCTAGATAGTCATAGACTCAAGTAGTACAATAAAAACAGACACACACACATATTATTCCAAATACCTCCAGATATTTAATAGGTGTGAGCTGAATCAGGCGATTAATTTACTTCTGCTGTAACTCTTTAATTCCCCAGTTAATCGCAGAAAGAATACAAAACTTCTAGCGAACAAAAATTTCGTCTACATATTGAGATCCCTTTGGCGAGGGATGAGCCCTCAGACATGAAGTTGTAGGGAGCATTCATCCAAGTTATCACCGAAGTGAAATTAGGGACGCGAATTGTAGGCATGTGTATATCAATAAAGTCGTCTGCTTGAAAGTATTAAAGTTGAACGATTTTAAAGCTTGGGCGGATATCTAAGCAAAACACTGACAATATTTACTGTAAGGCTGTGTTGGGAAGGATAGATGAAGCTGAAAAGAAAGCAATACTATTCAAGAATCCTCAGTGTTACTCCAACGAATTAACCTCTGACAGTGCGTTGCTAGTCAGCATGTATTCTGCCTGGGAGAAAGATCTTAGTCGGGAGGTTTACGAAGTGGATTAAGTGTCGAGAGCACTTGTTAGTATTGGCTATAATTATTTTTTCCTCATACAGTTTAATAAATCTACTTATTCATCAACAACTCGGCATCCGTCATAGATATTTCCAATCATTCTATCTTCTAACAAGATTCATAAAATATATAAAAATGAGTCAAGGTTTGTTAGATTATAAGGGAGTCCGGGCAGCTTTCTAAAGCCAGGCTGGCCAGTAGTTTATCCTCGAGGAAATTTAAGAGCTACCACGATCTTAAATAAAATTAACTGGTGAATGAGAAAAGAGCTAGTTAATTCAAAATCTCAAGAAAAGCTAAGAAGTAGTCATGTCGTTTACCGGGGAAATCTCTAAAGCCACGTAATTTTCTTTAAGCTTGTAAAATGGTAGAAATATAGGCGCCTTGTGAAGTACTTCAGATTGAAAGTTCCATGTTGTATTTCTGGAGTAACTTGTGTAGCCATTTTAGTCATTCCACACTTTTTGTTCTTCCTGAGCGACAAGAACGCTTAACCAGCTGTGCACTCCATGAAGCGACCATGTTTCTCTACCATGGGGCGAAGCAATGCCGTTCCAGCTCGTGATGGCGGCTTGGGTTTTACTAAGATCATCTTTTGCTACACGCACCCAGCACGTGTTGTCTTGCATCTTGAGGATATCAAATGAAGTGGCGGCACCAGTTAATCCATGTAGCTGTGAGAGGGCTGCGATAATGTAGGAGTGCGCAGTAAGCATATCAAGAGAGCTTGAGGTGGGTTTGTCGCAAATTAGTTCAAGACAAAGATAAGCCCAGTCGGAAGACATTTTTGCTTCACTGATGACTCGGTGAGGGCCTGCATCTTTAAGATTTTTGAAATTCTCGTCCAGCATAGTAGTGAGGTAACGAAATGCCGCTGCTTATGTCTGCAATTATATCTGAGTGAGATTATCAAGGGGGGAGGTTGTTTTATGAGACTGGAAGCCCTTAAATGCTAAGAAAAATGATCGTAACAGTAATTATAATAATGTACTACAATTACTACCTAGCCTAGAGGACAGAGACTGTACAACTAGAAGCGGTGCTCCTTTATTATAGATGTAATTTTAGGCTAGTGTAATGAGGCATGTCAACATGTTGTGAGTAGATGTGAATTTTTAGATTACTTGAAGTAGTGACCGCGCGCAGCTCGTTTTTCGAGACATCACGTGAATGATGCGACGTTTAGGCAGCTGATAAGTCCGGTACCTTTCGATGGCTGTCGAAGGCAAATCATGCAATCAGTCTATCCGATGATTATCAGTAGACCGAAATGGATACAAAATCAGCACTGAGGCTACGTAAAGGATAGGATGGTAAGACTGAACACCTGTACGCGGTGTCCTCTACGAACCTGGAAGTGAAATATTCTCCCAAAGCCAAGTTCAGTTAAATTTCGCAATACCAAAGAAGTTGGCCCACGAGGCAATGATTCAAATTACTCCACCATGTCGTTTTCTCGCTCACAACGAGTTTGACTCCTACCTAAGTCTCATCAAGTCTACAAGTACGACCTAGTACATCCTCATCCCAATGACCACAACTCTCGTCGACCTTCTCTGGCCTCAGCTGGTCACCAAATACACGCCCACGCCGATATTTACACCCGACGGAGGAAGCAAAGCGTGGCGCACAAATCTGGGAAACAGTTCTTTGGGATGGACGTGAGAGGCATCAGGACAAGTTCACAAGATGATGCGAAGGATGGATACAGTCTCGACGGGCATGTCATTTTGAATTTTGGCAAGGAGTTTTACGAATTGAGCTTTGTGCGCGCCATGACTTCGCTTGCGAGAGTGCAGCTCACACTATAAAAACAAACAGACGATGGAAGGTGTAGTGGTCCGCCTCCTGGTGGTGTTCTCTGGTATAGGTAGAGTAGCCTGGGCAACTACTTCACTTGGAAACGAGACATCTCAGACTGCATTTTGCGCGATGAAAATTCAGTGGACGATGGAGACATGTCTTGATAACTCAGGGTTTTCGAGATGTTCTCCTGGGTGGGTATTAACGGATGAGGGTTGACTTGGGGTGAAGAAAAAGCCACCATAACTCCGCAGTGGTACCTGCAAATGAAATCTGAGGCATGAGTGCTCTTCCTTCACGTTGAATCATCTATTCTGTACTTTTCTTTGATATTGTGTCATAGCTAGATAGCTGCATACGCAATTAAAATCTGTTGCAAAAAAAAAGGTAGAAGATAGTGCCAATGATACTGGAATAATAACCAATGTGGGGGAGGAAACCTCAATTTCCTTTTTTTTTGCATCAGATTCTAATTGTGTATTTGGCTATCTAACTATGACATATGATCGGTGCTATAATTCCTGAATAACTTTGGGAAAATCGATGAGATACCCTATAATCATCTCCCCTACCCTTCGATTCGCATACATTTACACAAACTCGACTTCTCATTGTAAAAAGACCCCGGATCTCCAACATGCCTCCGGGGCCTACCAGATTATCGCGGATTATTCGCCACAAAAGAATTCTGGACAGAATTAATACCAAGCTGAAAAAGTGCTTGGAACGCAAAGGAATACTACTGATCTCGATAGATTGGCGAAAGGTGGAATTGGACATGGCCGAGAGGATAAGAGCCTTTGAAAAAAAACCCGAATTCCACAAAGCCAGACATTGAGATGGGTTATGCGGCCATCAGCCAATATATCATAGAGGGACTTGAGAGCTCGAGTTCGAATATACAGGAACCCAAATATGGTCAGGTCTCAGAGGCCTCCATTATTACAAACACAAGGAAGACTGCTGTGCCGGCCATGAAGCGGACATCTAATGTTGATACAAAAAAGGCCGACGGAGCCGCTTCCACCACAACTCAGAATATCATTTCGAGAGAAATTGGAAACTGTTGGTTTACAGGTAAATGGCGTAGGAAGAAAGGGCTTTTATTAAGTGTTTACTTCCAAAAGTATTGGTCAGCGCATCACGTGATATAGTTAGGGCGCTAAGCTTTACTGTGTACCTTAGATATTAATGCTTGAGGAGGGAGAGAACAGAAGAGATTGACAGAACGTACCACTTGTTTTTAGCACTTTTGAGGCATTAAAACAAGTGAACCCCGTTGTACCAACAGAAATAACCAAACATCTTGCAGCGATTGTAGCTCCAAGAACACTGCGGCTTATCCTCCCGAGCTTTGAGCCATACTTGAAGCCGAAGAATAGCGAGCGGCCCAGACCGCAACTAACCTGAAAATACGCACCACTGCTGTAAACTATGTGGAGAACGCGTCTTTACCTCTATCCAAAAGTTTGAGCGTTCAGTTTTAAGACTCAATGAAAGTCTACCTCCGAGCTGCAATAGCTCAATTCATGATGTCGGGATCAGAAACAGTCCTTCCCAACCTCTCCCCACGACCAAACTGCTAGAATCATGGCGGAAAGATCGTGGAAAGAACGATACAAAAGCAGCTAGAGCAGAAACTATAAGAGAACCAGCCGAGGATAACCTCGGTCAAGCCTACCTGGGCAACAGTTACCCGAAATAGACTCAAGACGTCCGCGGCACCAGTGAAAGACGTTCGAATCCACAACAAACCCTTGATATTAGCGAAAACTCAAGCAAAGGCTAAAACAATAGCCGCCCAAGATGATTGGTTGTTTTTTCGGCTCGGAAAAGAACACGCTTGGCGCGTTCTTTCGCCGGCTGGCGTGCGAGATGCAGCAGCAAAAGTGTTCGAGCTTCCCTCACAAAATATTGAACACGTATACCGTGTTCCGACTATTTTCGGACTTCGAGCAAAAAACTAGGAGGTACGACAGCTCCTTATAAACTCTGCTGAATCGTTCGTCCAGATAGACGCAAAGTTAGAAAAAGCCTCAGATTAAGTGGCCCTCCGTATTGCGATAATTCCAGTCTCAATTCATAAACTTCCGGGAAAATTAATTGTCACCGACGAGATGGTGGCCGACGAAATCACTCGATTCATCAACATAGTTCTGGCAAGGGTCCGCCATTATGGAAAAGGACGAGTCGGATCCCCATACTAGACATGGGTGGCTCACTTTGAAAGAGCTTCCGTCCCTCGACTGGTCTTCCGACTATTTGACGACTCGGGAATTATTGGAAATATCGCGCAATAAAATAGGCGCAATATTTATGGGACGAAATTAGAAGTTGACCAAGGAAGTGTCATGTTCAGATTACATCTAAAAGTGTGGGAAGTGTGCGCTACAAGTACAAGTATAAGCGACACATAGCCTAAGCCAAAGTATAAACGATTGTGGCGCCATCTAGGCATAGTAAGCCCCCAACGACCTCCTTATACCCACGCTGTTCAGCCGCTCATATATCCAATAGGTAGTCTGAAGTGCTACCATATTACCCATTCTAACCTCTTAAATACACACAAGATCGTGTCGGGAACCTAGACGAAATGGAGGGCCCGTACGTCGACAACACTCTGTGTCTCCATTTCCAACTATCAGATTAATAACGCATTGGCTAATCTGCGAAGAATCAAACTCAAAATCTTAATAGAAAAAATGTCAAAATATGACAGTAGTTCAAAGGGAACAGAAATGGCCGTTGAAAACATCGCGTCCGGGAATGAGTATTTAGGGAATGCCATTATAAAAGATGATGATACGAAAGAGATACAATATCTATATAATTTTAATTCCTTAAAACTTGCAACATTCGCAATCAAAAAATTCACAAGATATATTAAAAAACTCTTGGATTCTAGACGGAGGTTCCAATATACATATCTGTAATAATGCGATTAAATATCATTTTCAAGAAACGAAGAAAGCAAAAAGTGGAGAGGTATTTCATGCAAGAAATAAAACAATTCCAATTGAATCCTACGGAATAGTCAGGTTTAAAGCAGATACGCCCAACCGAGTGCGACACACTACCTTATACAACGTTGGGTTAGCCCATGATTTTCTGACTATTATTATATCAATGCAGCTACTCAATAAGTCCGGGTTCCATTGGATAAGTCGTAATCCTACAACATCAGAGTGTGAAGACTACTCAATTGCCTGTGATATTTATCAGGAAGGTGGTCATATTTTATTCAACAATCCAACTGTCATGAATGTGCTTTTCACATTAGTGTTAAATTGTCATCCACGTAGTGTAGCATACAGAGCCAGGGAAATGGAAACATGCTAGTGATAAATTAGATACCACCGATTGCTACACTCATCCGTATATTACTCCTAAAAGCGACTAGCTACGGCGCTATCTGGATGTGGGATTGATTAATTATCCTGTAGATAACCTGTAACATAACAGTAACAGTAACATTACATAACATATAACACAATAAGATACGATTCGCATCCAGTAACATTTATTGCTATAATCACCCAAGTATATTCTAAGCCCCCTGAGTAGTCACAACCATTCAATTGAAGATACCAAGTGTATACGACCATTTACATCACCACCCTTCAATACCACATACTTAAACAGGTCAAAAATATTGCAATGATGGCCCGGCCAACGCATAATCCAAAGATGCGTACGCTTACAGAAGCAAATCTATATCGAAATCCAGGGCAAGCCACAGCCAGGGAAATTAATGAATATCAAAAAAGGGTAGGCAAACTCAACTATCCAGCAGTAATCACGAGGCCAGAAATCGCCCAAGGAGTTTCATAATCATCTGAGTTCCTACAAAACCCATCAAAAGAACATATGAAAGCAGCGAAACACATGATGCGATATTTATTGGGAATCAAGTATAGAGGTATAGGATACGATGGAGGATCTCCCGCAGCTATGAGCCAAGGATTTGTGGCGTCTAGTGATGCTTTGTTTAAAGACGATCCTGAAAAGAGATACAGCTCCAGCGGATTTTGTTTTCAGTCCTTCAACG